AGCTGATACCCCTGGTTGGACATTGATCCTGTCTGTTCACTTTGTATTGTCAGTGTTTCGTTTTGTAAAATCCTTCTGAGAGTGATTTTCTGACTTGATTCGAAATTGCAAATTACGAATGTAAGCTATTGTGTTCCAAGACCTGTTCAGATGTCTGGTTTTCTCAAGACCCCGAATGCTGCCCTAGAGCGAATCACAGAGAGTTAGCAGGTCGAACTCATATAGAATGTTGCTTATGGCATGCAGAGCACTCCAGTGTTGGCGTCACGTATCACAACGAGCCACTGCATTCCCATAAAACTGGTCACCCAAGTTGACAACATGCGGACAGATACGGTCAAATTCACCAGACCAGAGTTGTATTTAGAAGCTATTTTTTGAAATCATGTGCTACGCCAAATTGTTAGGAGTCCAAAATGAGCTTGCCAAAAAGCAGACCCTGTGAACCAGACATTTTAACGTTATCTTCGCACCTACATCAAGCGGACAATAAAATCGCGAAAGTACAATAGCCAGCAAGTTGTGTTGTGAATTGACAGGTTACCAGATAGATCTGCCACACTTCACCCGACGGGGATGACAGTCAGTCGCCATGTTTGCAACGAATCGCACCAGCAATTACTGATGGAAATAAAAGGTCGACTTCCGAGTTCTTTCACGTCTGCACCGAACATGTATTTTTAATGGAGTTTCCCTCCTGTGACCTTACGGCCGGTAGTTTGAACACCTGAGCGTTCGGCCCCGAGCAACTGAGCAGCAGTGAAGGTAGCTCACGCATGGACCGGATTTAATGCCACTCATCTTCCAATCATGGTAATTCACCCACAAAACAGAATCGCAAATGAAACTTTTAGATTCAATCCGCACTACTAACAATACATAAGTAGCTCAAAGCAAGAGTGAAATTCATCAGAAGAGCAGAACCTTCATCTGAGAAGTTGCTCTTTCCCGAGGAGACAGTGACAACGTTTTTCACTAGCTCAAGGCCGAAAGATTAAGTATGCAAACTACTAGCCAGGAGGTCACAGGTTCGTGCTCCATAGAGCTTCATGAGACTATCACTGCCGATGGTTTCAAAAACCGGAACAGAACAATACCTTCACTGAACAAATTATTAGTACGCTTCCTTTAACTACCGTCATCCCGCTGCGAGGGCGCTACGGCTTACTTTTAACGGAGCAGTAGTCAATCGAAAGAAGGAAAAATAAACGATGAATCTGTGTACCCTACCACAATACATATGTAACAACAATCTGTGCAGGTCTGAGTGGTTCACTACCTCCAAATTTAGCGCCTATAATTGTGGATTGCAATTATGTTGCAAATCATATCGAGGACAAGCTTCTGTCATTCATTCTGCAAGTGAAGCTGTGCTGGAAAGTCGAGAATCCCTACAGAGCTGATTCATCCTCGTTCGGGATCACCAGTGATAGTTATTTCAAGCATCTGTCTAGGGTTTTGAACCAGCGACCTCCACATAATTAAGCGGTTGAAGACTTTACCATTCAACCGCGAGTGACTGACCTACAGGGCATTCAAATGAAGTGCAGCGCCACTCTGATAAGTTGTCAATAAGGGAACTAATAAACATGTGGCCACGTGACATGAGGTGCACTATCCAAGTGAACTATCCTCAATTCCATACACTCACTTTTCTGATTAGTCATTTATAACACCAGGAGGTCACGGGTGTGCTATCGTTGATGAACCCCAGCAAAGGTCATGCGGCAGTTCCATTCTTTCTGGCTTTACAGCATAGACTGCCTCTATTGTCAAAAAATTTTTTTTAGAATTTCAATATATTCTTACAGACAATGCATATCGCGTACACCGTTTTTGCTGTATCAGAAGTGGTATTTGTAAATTATCGAATTCAAACTAAAGCCTTCCATCTCTGGGAGGCAAAACGGCTTGTCGAACTGAGCGATTTGGTCACCTAGTAAACCTGAGCTGACGGCATTCGCCTCGATGTCCTGTCCCCTAAACAGGTCAACAGGTGTAAACATAAAATCGGGAAGCGGTTGGTTAGAACAGAAACGCCGTTAGAATTTCATGCGGTTTCTCTTGGTTTCTTTTGGTTTCCCCTAAAACAAAACGGTATTTTTCCATCCCATTTTTGAGGGGCTAATTTTATAGGGTTCTGCATTGAGGAACCAAAGTTTAACTAGAGAATTCAGGTTGATGTGATGACTACATTTATTATCTCCAATCACTCTCACTTTCCCGCACCGTAAGTTGGTCGGTGAGAAGGTGAACTTTGCACTTGGCGAATGTATGAAAGTGATTGCTTGTATTGGCGAAGAACTACGGGAGCGAGAGTCTGGAAAAACGGAAGAAGTGTGCTTCCGCCAGCTTGAAGCGATCAGAAGTAAGTTCTTGTCGTTTTTTAGTCCAGTATTTTGATGATGAATTTAAACAGTTGTTAGCGAAATACACTCATTTTCGAACCAATTTTATTTCGCAAGAAACTGGCTCGGAACCCAAATGAATCTCCTATTTATGCTGTTTCTAAGCAACTGAATGTGCTGCACTGGGTCGCCTCCTGTTTCAGCTGGTACAATATTTGAGAAATCGCGATGCATATATAGACGTAATGCACTACTCACAAGGTTGCTGAAAACTCCTCGACAGTCCACGACCGGTTTCGCCCTTCTTGGGGCCCAATAAGTAGGCGCAGTCACCGAGTTTCCGTCAACCTAATGTTCTAATTGAAACCAAATTGCACGAAATTAGCGAAATACACTTAAGTGCAAACTAATTTGGTTTTGCGGGAGACTCACCTGGAACCCAGCTGAACCTCTCGTTTATGATGTTTCTAAGCAACTAAATGTGCTGCACCAGGCCGCCTCATGTTTCAGTTGGTACGATATTCAATTAGAATCATCAGTAACGAGAGATTCAGCTGGGTTTTCAGATGAGTCCCCCGTCAAAACCAAATCGATACGTCCATGAGCGTGTTTTGTTAAATTCAGGGAATTTGGTTTCAAGTAGAACATAAGGTTGACGGAAACTCTTGGACTGCGCCTACCTGGTGAGCCCCAAGAATGGTAAAACTGGTCGTGGGCTGCCGAAAAATTTTCAGTAACCTCATGAGTAAGGTATGCCGTTCGAACAGTTGATATTTTATTTGCCTATGACTACTATGCGGTCGATGAGTGGTTCGAACAAGTACTAAAAACACATTAAATGGTCACTTCTGAAGACCTTACGTGCATGAAAAGACTGTCCATCCGATGGAAGAATAGTTTTATGGGAACAAAAGCCGCGAAACAGAGACAATCATGGGTGACAAGAACAGTCCCGCTTGACGTAGTCTAGTAATTATTGCTTCTCACACCATCTAGTTCCATATATTTCTTTCACCAACAGACAGAAACAACACTTGATCTACGTCATCTAGCTCAAAATGCTCAATTCAGTTGTGAAATACTACTCAAATTTGGGTAAGTTTTATAGCAAACAGCAGATGCGAAGAATCCGGAGTCCCAGAGCTTCTGTTTTCTTCAAAGAACCTCAAAATTCTGATCCATATGGAAGCAAACCAACCAAGAACATCAAATATATGCTGTCGATGCAACCAGTCCGCTAAACAGCGGTAGTCGTTCCAGTTCGATCCTTACGGACTAGATTATTACAGTACGGGACGTTAGCACTAAACTTGTGTCCCCCGAGTCACGTTCACCTCAATAAAGGGATGATAGATGTGTGCAAACTTCAACTCTAGCATTTCTCATCCAACTTCAGAAAAGAAACTACTCTCACGTTTCAGTAAACAGGGAGGTTCAAATGTAGTGACTAGGGTGTTTTCCGTTCGGTCACGTCCTGTTGCGTCCTAGGAGGGGCTAAAGAGAAGTGACTGCCCACTTCCCTTTTTGAGGGCGATATGTAAGAAGAACACGAGCCACCAATAGGTTGCTGCCTACTCACTGTTCAAATGGAACAGCTGAATTGGAGATCGATATTCGAATACTAAATGATTGATAATGAACTAGTAAAATGATTGACAGTGGTACGTGTGATTGGTTGGTTTGCTGCTTTACTAAAGTAACATAGTTCAGCGCACGTGATTGTATGCATGCGTGTGTGTGTTTGCGAGCGAGTCTAAAGCGACACTAGAAGTGATCCCATCTGACCATTGTTGTACGGACTCGGTCGAGTATTATCCAGGAAGTGCCAGCCGTAGATAGCCGTAGATTTACCAATGGTTTTAGCCTCCAAAAGGGCTTCCGCCTTGGAAGAAGTATTTCGACCCTCGTACTCATTCATGCAATTACTTTATTTAAAGATGGAAACAATGTCCCGAATATCCGATTCCCGTGAAACACAGCGGGTAGAAAGGCCCGAGTACAGAGTGTGTCAGTTTCTTCTCCGATGACTGATGCCGCAAGAACAACAGTAATAATAGTCGCCCGGTTGTAACACCAGTGCCTCTCTGCCATGCCACCCGAAGGAAGCATAAGGGCCAAGATAATGTCAGGTTACCCAGGCTCGGACAGGAGCAGTCGATATACTAGGGTTGGTTTGGAACTTACTAATCAGTCAGTTCGCGATCTAACCACTGAGCTCTCTGGGGCTCAATACAGCAGTAGCAGTCCAGCAATTCAATGCCAGTATTAGCTGATAAAAGTCAATTAATGGGGATCATCCCTGCAGAAATTGGATCGTCACTGTCACGTTCATTGTGCTAGCCACTGTGGTACTTCCGTTAGTAGCATCCTTTGTGAAGGGTAGTAACATGGGTCGCGGGTCTACTGACTGCATCAGTTTGGTTCAGTTTACCACAGGCACGTTGGTTCCGGTTTGTGCAGCTTTGGAAAAGAAGTGCACAAGGGAGAGACAGCCAAGCATTGGAGACGATGGCACAGTGGGATGTCGAATCACCCCATTTGTCTGAAAAAACGGGAAGAGGGCAGTTACACACTGAAGTCGATAGCTCCAAGTTATTGGCCCCACTGACTACGTGATCGAACAAGGGTCATCAATAATTAGTTGGCCGAGTTCCGGGGTCTCCAGATGGGGGGCGGTATTTATCAACTAGACTGAGCTCACTGGCTCATGTTTTCATATTTCATTGTGCGGTCATTGACTACCCACTCATCACACAGCTGGACAAAAGAGGCACTGTAAAGTTGATGGCCCTCTTACCTGCAAGGTAAGAGCCATCCAAAAAACAGTGGATGATGCTTCACTGTTTGAGCAGAACACTGGCGCATTCTCCAGCACAACACAGAGTAGAAACGAAATATGCGAACAGTGCACTCAGTAAGTAGGGTCCGAAGCAGAACACTGCGCATTCTCCAGCACAACACAGAGTAGAGACGAAATATGCGAACAGTGCACTCAGTAAGTAGGGTCCGAAGCTACCTGAAGTGTACTTACAGGCTGTTGCTGTTTGTGCATAGACAGGATTAAAGACAAGGAATAACAGTGTTGGAGCATCAGATAAAAGTGACGAAGAGTCTGGGACTGCGTCTATTTGATGAGCTTCAGGACGGAGGAAGCAGGTCGTGGGATGTCGGTTCGTTTTCAGCAAACTTATAAGTAGTATCTTCCGTCTAGAAAATGTCCAATAACCATTACCGTGAAAATAGGAAAACCATACCAGAAGCTATCGCATATCTGCCAGCCGAGATGGAACAGACCGCATACTTGTGGGGAAAAATAGGTATTCCTAATCCTCCTGCCTGGATTTCTGGTGAGAATCACATGAGTTCTCATGACTGAACACAGGGAGAGACAGATCCGTAAAAACCAAGCTGGGTCCTGCAAGGGTATGCATTGATCACATCCTACCCTCCGACAGATTCCCGAACAGTGACACTAATTTCAGCAACTAACAACGGTCGTGTTTCTTGATCTGAAAGCTACCTTTGACTCTGTGGACCCATCACGCACTATGGCACTGCCTGTGAACCAAAGGTGTCCCCCCTGAATTCTTGACCCTCTTCCAGGTGCTGTACGCCACCTCCCGCAGCCGGGTGAAGATCTACTGGAAGCTCTCTTCTGAGTTAACCCTTACTAAATGGAAGTATGGTCCGGGAATCACATAAAAGATTGGTGGTGGATGGTGTATCAATATGAATACCAATGCATACATGTGAGGTGGAGCAATGAACACAAACGTTCATTTAGCATGGGTTCGTAAAACAGTGATATATCCTCCCCCCACCCAATTTTTCCACTCCCGTTATGTGTACTAACATGCATACTTGACCAATATCAGAGTAAGACAAACAGGAATTAGAACTTGTGAAAGAAAACATGCCTTTTTGGAAACACCGAGACCTTCAGTTTGTTCATAGAAGGAAAATCATTAAAGATGTCAGCCTATTCAGAAGACAACTTATTTGTGCGGGTTCATTGTAGTGGGCATTATTCGAGGCAATCGATAGCAGCTCATGTGACCTTCTAGCTCGTACCGTCTTGTATGCTGATGTACGGAGGTTGACCGTCTTATTTTTGATTGAGGTGGGACTCTTGCCACTCTAAGTGGACAGCGTGTTTTTGAAGAACAGCGCTCTTAGTTCCACGTACTTGCATGATAAGATTGTTGTCGAATTAGGTAAGACCGACTGGATCTGCTGCATGTACTTGGTTCATCGTGAATGGCTGGGATGCAAAATTCTTGTTGAACAGTCAATACCAGCCTACCGCCCACATGTCGAATATATTGGCTACGTTAACTACTATCGATCACCGGTTCGTCCCACTGAGAAAAGTTCTGAATCGCTCGACTACCTCTGGCAATTGCTCTTTGAGCTGGACTTGAAACGTTTGCGTCTGTTTGTTATCCAATATGTTCCCTTGTTATTAAAAGCTTTCACAAAAAAACCGTCGCTGGGATTCGCGTTATCCTCAGTAATTCACGTTGACAGATCGTGAGGCTTTCGGTAGCAAGAGTCAAAAAGGTTAGAATCGTTCATCAAGTGTGATAACTAAGCTTCAAGAACTCTGAAAAATATTTAAAATGGGACTCAATGGCCCCGCTTCCATCTACCACGTGATGGGTCCACATTTCAAAATAACACAGTTAGGCTCCCTTGTTTGTGATTGTTACTCTTTCAAGGTGATCCTCAATTGTTTGACTGAGATAGACATAGTGTGGGTTCTTGACGAAGTCGGCAATAGATGCAACGTCATAATACACCAGCCTGGTGTCGTGGGCCAACGCTGAAGTTTAACTCTGATCGAAAACAAGCGAAAGAAGAAAACAACGTCAAAGTAACCGTGTGCCCAGCTCACCAGACCAACCGCAAACGAAAATCTGGCAGCTATAACCATCGACGGCGGCGACGATGATGATGGTGATGAGAAGGAGGAGGAGGGTAGTGGTGATGATGAGGGGGATGATTATGACGATGATGATGATGATGATGTTGATGATGATGAGGAGGAGGAGGATGAGTATGATTATGACGAGGATGATCTGATGATGTGATGACGTTGATGAGAGTAACCGCACGATTGACTATGAGTTTATGCTTTGCCGCTGGGATATGATGAATAACAATCAGCGAGTGTGTCATTCAGTCACGGAAACCGATAATGTGCTAGGCTTACTGGTTTCGTCCGATTTGCAAACTGACCAAAATAGCAGTCGAAAAGTTGACAGAAAGGGTCATCTAAGCTTGCCAGTTATAAACACTGTACTTAGGTATCCAAATGCCATTGATGTCATGTTTACACTCTCCCACCTCCCTCTGAATTAAGAGCTTATCACCGATCCCGAATGTTGGTGCCGTTTGGTGATTGCCTACGAACCTGTCTGGGCAATCGGGACTGGAAAGACAGCGACGGCCTCCGAGGCACAACAAGTACACGCTGCTGTTCGGAATTGGTTACTCAAGAATGTGGGTCCATCGGTGGCCAAACACATGCGCATTATTTATGGAGGTAAGTGCCACAGATTGACGATCTTTTGGCGGTACAGTGGAGGTCATTTGATTTGAACGATTTTCCCCTGAACGTATGCATATTAAAAATGGTTTGTGATTGACCAGGGAGGCTATAAGCACGAAAAATATGGTCTAAAGATGATGATCGTCTAGTTTGAATGACTTTACGGGGAACTGTGCTGAGTGAGAGGCGGTTTGACCCTCTCATTCAAAAGTGGGGTCCATGAAACCACTCTGCTTCAATTCAACACCACGTGATAGCACTAAAGTGATTGAGGAAGACCACTTTCTACTTGACTCCCTGAAGCTATGGTCAAAATCTAGATCCCGGCCCCATGATTGAACCAGGATTTTCTTGAGCAGTTACGTTCTACTGTTTGTGCACGGGGCTCCTTGCTGTCGTTTCCGAATTAAGAGCTTATCACCGATCCCGAATGTTGGTGCCGTTTGGTGATTGCCTACGAACCTGTCTGGGCAATCGGGACTGGAAAGACAGCGACGGCCTCCGAGGCACAACAAGTACACGCTGCTGTTCGGAATTGGTTACTCAAGAATGTGGGTCCATCGGTGGCCAAACACATGCGCATTATTTATGGAGGTAAGTGCCACAGATTGACGATCTTTTGGCGGTACAGTGGAGGTCATTTGATTTGAACGATTTTCCCCTGAACGTATGCATATTAAAAATGGTTTGTGATTGACCAGGGAGGCTATAAGCACGAAAAATATGGTCTAAAGATGATGATCGTCTAGTTTGAATGACTTTACGGGGAACTGTGCTGAGTGAGAGGCGGTTTGACCCTCTCATTCAAAAGTGGGGTCCATGAAACCACTCTGCTTCAATTCAACACCACGTGATAGCACTAAAGTGATTGAGGAAGACCACTTTCTACTTGACTCCCTGAAGCTATGGTCAAACTCTAGATCCCGGCCCCATGATTGAACCAGGATTTTCTTGAGCAGTTACGTTCTACTGTTTGTGCACGGGGCTCCCCCCCCCAACTGAGGACACCTCCTCGTTGTGCGGCTGGGTGGGTGCCTACTGAGATGCGCATTGTTGATATCTACTTGATTGTTGACTGAGCGTTGGTAAACCAGACACCAAGCATAGCTAACAGATCAACAATCAACTGATCAATGGGCAGTACGCATGTTACCTCTTTGTTAAGCCACAGTCAAACTCTTCCACCAGCTTCAGCTGTTTAAACGCAACAAACTACTCACAAGGTTGCTGAAAACCCTTCGATAGCCCAGAAACGATTTCGCTCTTCTTGGGGCGAAACCGATGGGCGCAGGCCCCGAGTTTTCGTCAGCCTTATGTTCTGCTTAAATCAAAATCGCTGGGTTCAAAGTGAGTCTCCCGCGAAACCAAATTTGTTTGCAAATAAGTGTATTTCGCTCATTTAGTGTACCATTTGAGTTCAAGTAGAACATAAGTTTGACGAAACTCGGAAAATGTGCCTATTCCCGAAAAATTCAAACCGGTCGTGTGCTGTCGAAGAATTTTCAAGAGCCTCATGTGTAGTGCATTACGTTTATACCGTTCTGTCTCTCTTTTTCCGAGGGAGGTCAACCACAATAAAAGATCACTGTTGTTTTCCGATGGAAGGCTATAGTTGCAAGCTAAACCAAACTTGAATAATTTGTTTCCGATTACGTCTGAGTAGCCGGCGTTACTTGCCAAAATTAAGTCAACTTTTCGGTAGATTTCACTTACATCTACCCTGTAAATAACTCGGTGGGGTAAATCTGCCAGGATAAACTCGGTTTCAATGCTGAAATTCGTTTGAATAGTTTTCTGTCATCAGTATAGTGCTAAAATTACACCAAAGGTAAACAAGCAAGGTGACAAAGGATGAATGGGAGCTTACGGTCACCGCACCATAAAATGCAGTGTTCAGAGTGGCTATTGCAAGAGAAGTCGATGTGTGACTGAGCTGACAGAAGAAGTTGATATTGTGAGGAGACTTTAGAATTCTCATTTTACATTCCATCCTTTAGGTAAACTCGGTATAAGCTGAAAAGTCGAGACCCAGTTCACAGCTGTTCTTTCGTTATTAGTAAACGTCATTAGTGCACATCTAAAGATACTCAAAGCGACAAAAAGTACTCTCAGTTGCTCACCGCCTTTGTTCGTGTTTTGACACCGGCGGGGAAAAAGTCTAAAGAGGCGATCAAGACCGGAAGGATATTGTGCGTACAGCTATCTCACTTCTCACATGTTTATATGATTAAATAATCGCTTAAACAAAAAGCGGGCTCTTCAAACGCTATGACCAACAGCTGGTTCATTAAGCCTGATTTGGGACAAGATATCGATTTGCTTGCGAAAATCAATGGGAAATCTATTGAGCACGAAATTTCGGGGGTTGGTTACACCACGGAATGATCATGCGCATGTCATAAACAAAATTTTGGTTTCCATATCCAAGTAGTCTAGTGTTTTACCCAACAGTAGTCTAACCTGTTTGTCTGCTACACATTCATTCACAGGCTCTGTGACAGCGAAAAATTGTCATGAACTTGCCGCGCAACCGGATGTAGACGGATTCTTGGTGGGAGGAGCATCACTCAAACCGGATTTTATCGCCATATGTAACGCCAGATCCATTTGAGTATCAACGCTTACCCACCCCTTGCATGGACCTTATTTTATCAGTTAAAAAAGCCTTGCAACAAGTTGACAATCGTTCAATAAACTTAAGATTCCAATCCCCTTTTCGTAACAGATGGGCTTTGTATTTTTCACCTTACAGATTCAATCTTCGTCGGGTTGGACAGAAACGGCAGCTAAATCAATGAGCTGAGATGTTCCCAGGTTGTCCAAGNACAGTAGTCTAACCTGACTGTCTGCTACACATTCATTCACAGGCTCTGTGACAGCGAAAAATTGTCATGAACTTGCCGCGCAACCGGATGTAGACGGATTTCTGGTGGGAGGAGCATCGCTCAAAACGGATTTTATCGCCATATGTAATGCCAGATCAATTTGAGTATCAACGCTTACCCACCCCTTGCGCATGGACCTATTTTATCAGTTAAAAAAGCCTTGCAACAAGTTGACAATCGTTCAATAAACTTAAGATTCCAATCCCCTTTTCGTAACAGATGGGCTTTGTATTTTTCACCTTACAGATTCAATCTTCGTCGGGTTGGACAGAAACGGCAGCTAAATCAATGAGTTGAGATGTTCCCAGGTTGTCCAAGCCTAGATAGGAGCAGTGGAAATACACGGGTTGGGTTCGGACTACGGACGTTCGCCATTTAACTACTGAGCTGAATCAAGCACTTAGCTGAAAACTCCAGCAAGTGTGATCAATAGCTTTGGGTAAGGAAATGCGTAACCAAGACCGTCTATCAGTAACTGGGTTAGATAACGGCGTACCGACGGGATGGGCATGAACACCGGTTGATAGCTCCTTAATTCACACTTACCTTTCTCTGTAGAGACAGTCTCTAGTGATCTGAAGTGAGGTGTACTGGGGCCTAAATAACTCTCAATGGCCTTTGTAAACCAACAGATCTACTCTTTACAGTAAAAGAGTTACTTCAGGTTATTTGTGCACTCTCCCGATCGACTTTACGAAACGCAGAGTGGTCCTTTCTTGAAGATATTTTCAGAGTGAACAAGAGATTTCCTGATCAACTCAATATTCAGTCGGAGACGTTTTTTTGACCTCATCTCACCGAGTTTTCAGTCATTTATTCTGTCGCATGCATTACCTAAGTTATTATACAACCCTCCCCCAACAATCTCACAAAAGAATTTGTTACTGATGACGGTGGGTTACTTTAATGTCTGAACAGTCTATCCTGTTTTATCACCCACAGAAGAATCCTTGCCAACTTGCAAGTCGCTACATCCTCAGGTTAGCTGGTGGACTTTGTGACAAACAGGTAAAAAAAACTACGGTTTCTCAGGGCTTAGAAAAAAGTGAGCGTTTTAGTTTTGTCTCATCAGCTATTGGGGGTCTGCTGGAGACCTGATGTTGACAACAGGTTGACACCGTTGATCCTGCCAAACCTTGAATCGTGTCATCTACACACTCACTTCTGGTTCGCACACCCACCAATCTGACGCGTTTGTCTGCTTTTTAATGTTTCCCCCTTTGTTTAAGGATTTAGGAGAAATCAAATCATGTAACAAACTATTGGCACAAGTAACAGATCATATTTTAAAGTATTTTTTGCGATCGATAAATTAAACTGATCATCACAAACGGCTGCTATCTCCGTACCAGGAAAACTTTGTTTAGCAATGCCCTCCGTCTGTTTCCCTTGTTCTGGCGATTTGACGATTTGATTTCCAAAGCCATATGTCAATTTTACATTAAATCAATAAATTGATCATCACAAACGGCTGCTATCTCCGTACCAGGAAAACTTTGTTTAAAAATGCCCTCCGTCTGTTTCCCTTGTTCTGGTCTGGCGACAATTTGATTTCCAAAGCCATATGTCAATTTTACATTCTAATAAGGAGAATACGAGACTGAGAACGACTTGTTTGGGGTCACGACCCAACCAGGTCATTGACGTCGAATGGTTCTGCTTTTCCGGTGATGGTATTTATTCAAGACGGTTTGTCTTGTGCTGGGTCTTTATCCAGGGAGACGGCAGTGAGAAACGCGACTGCATTGACCGCCCCTGTCACACAAGGTTGAACAAACAGGGATCCACGAGACAGACAGTTCTTGGGCATACGTAGCACACGGCCTGAGCAACGTAGCCAGCTGACCTATCAAATGACAGTAGGCTTTCCCGAAAACCAGCCGACGTACCTCATCAGTACGGATCTGATGTTCCCACCAGATCAAACACATGGAGCTTTCGAAAGTCCGTTCACCAAACATCAGCATGTCTCTGATCCACAAAGTAGAACAGATTGGACCGCTGCGTTGTACAGTCTATTCCGGACAGGCGCCACCAATGTCGAAGAATAGCCAGTCTTCCCAGTTTGGGAAGTAGTTTCGCTTTTCTACAGTCCACAAGGAATTATCATAGGCTTCGAATAAAATGATACTGATATGAAAGAAACCGGAAGTGAGGGTTTGTTTTAAAAAGCAGTCAGAAAGTATGCATGATGCTTGCGTCCCGTTACCCGTCAGTCTCGATGGTCAGATCTAATACCTACGCTGTGCACCAGTGCAGCCAGTGATTGAATGCTGTGTGTTGACCTGTCATGCCTTAACCACACCAAAAATAGTTGACTAAAAACAGCAGTCTGTGAGAGAGTGGAAAACTTTGCAAAACCTGTTGAGTTGGTCTAAGCCATCGCTTATTGTAACACTGTCCTCGTCACCGTTCTGACTCCGGTGGAACTACGAATCCATGTGGTGCATTCGAAGCGACATCGCTCTCATTGAAACCCCTGACGTCAAACAGGGTGGAAGATATTTTGAGGTGCAGGAACCGCGGAACACAAATGAACTGCCAGGTTTCACCGTTCAAGAGAGACAACTATGCGTTAGATAACCAACTTAAGCTGTCTCCGTAAACCTCCATGAATCGCAATGGAATACTATAGCTATTCTTTTTAACTGGCATATGATCAACATCGACAGTATAACATCAGTGTTCACCACGAACGTTTCGTTGCCGTACAACATCGATTCATTGGAAAGCCTTATTGCAAAGAAAAGAATAAAAGCGGATGGAAAAGGGACTTATTGCTAGCTCAGTACAATCGTTCCGAGGTGTCCACATCTCCAGACACTACTCATTTAGACAACTTGGATAAAAGTTGACAACAAGAATACCATTGACATCGATTATCAGCCGTGTCTTACAGTGTCTCCAACCAGGTGCAGTGAGGATCACGCGGTCCACATCCTGGAAGGCGAGTAGCACCGACAGCACCCAATTTCGTGATTTCTTTTATACTTTTCTGCAGCATCAAGGGTTGGTTACCTCTCTGCTTCCGCCACCCGGAGTTGGGCATGGAAAACAGCACTCTCTTCAGCAAACGATGGCTAAGCATAAGCAACACATGTCCCAACCAACGCAGTTTCTGATGCTGAACACATTCTTCAATGGAAGTACCAGTTGCATACCGAAGAAACTCGCTTTCTAACTTTCTTTGGCAAACGATGGCTTGGTATACGCGGCATATGACACACAGGGGACAGGGGAACTACGCTGGACTGATTTTCACCCTGAAATGAAACCTTGAATCAGGTGCGTGCAACCGAAGTGATGTTGTTGTGAATTTTCGGTCAACAGGCCTGACGGGAGTTGAGTTTCCTAGGTAAATCAGTCAGCAAGACTCCATTTTGCGTAGCCTGGAAGTAACCCGTTCGAGTTCATCCCATGTCACGTGTTTTCATTCTTGTCGCGTATGCTTCAACTCTGACCATTTCAAAAACTATTGTGCCTGGGAAATTGATTATTCAATTCTGTTATAGAGCATGGATGTCGGGGTCAGATAGTCCCGATTGGGGTAGGCTTCCACTCAGTTATTTTTCTGTACAAGAGGTGTCTGAAATGAGAAATCGGTCCTCTTGAACGGCTTTTGGTCGTTGTTAGGCGGGACAAACAGAGTAGTGACTCTACAGCGGTGTGTTTACAGTACTTGACGGCAAAAGCATCGCCGTGGAAATCCAAGATGTCAATTTGTCCGGGTTAGGGTGCGATAAAGTGACAACTCTATCGCCCGCTGTCTTTATTGGTATAGTGAAAATTGTCTTTGGTCGGGTGTTTTCAGTGGCCTTCATGGGGGTATGATGACAACTTCAGTATCGCTGAACTGATCCTTCAGAGTAGCCCATATCTGTGATTCATAAATACTATTGTAAAATGGCAAAATGGCCCAGCTGCCATGCCACCCGAAGGAAGCACGAGGACCGGGATACTGCTAGGTTGCCCAAGCCTAGACAGGAGAAGTCGAAATACAGAGGTCAGTAAATATGCTCTTCAACCACTAAGCTCTCTGGAGGTCAAATACTTAACGTCAGTGCTCGCGTCCTTCAGGTCAACTGATCGGATAAGTCACGCTGATGCCCGGTAAAATAAAGGTCATCCAATGTGGCGGGATGGTGAGACAGCCATGCTTACAACTCGAACTCCTTGAAGCGATGTTCAACTAACGAAACTGGGTCAGCAGCACGGAACGTTCCCACTTCTTCTTAGAGTCAGTCAGTCACCTGGAGAGAGTGCCTCGTCTTCGGTTCTGGTGTGGGGCTATTTCTCCTTCGAAATCGTCTTGACGGCGATGTCTTCTTATGGGAATTCCCCATAAGGGTTAGCTGAATGGCGAGTTGCGGGATGTGTAGTTTGCATTGTCTACCGAAGATCAACTACAGGAATTAGATGAATATAGGAAAAACAAACGAAATTGCATGCTTGTCGAACACGTAATGGCCAATCGCAGGCCTTTGAGAATTTGTTTACACGCTAGACTGCCGTCCTTACGTCTCGCGGAAAATTTAACTGCATCAATCGGGGTGAACTGCAACTGTGGACGCTTCAGATAAACAAGAATTGTGTACACTTGCAACATTGATTTGGCCGCATCTGCTGACCACCGTAACAGTAAATATTGTTGTCGTCTTGTTACAACTCATACGTCGCGTGTGATGTGATACGACCTCCAATTAGAAGTATAAATAGTCAAACAACAACACCGTCGAACTGATTGACGGTCAGCTCGTGTAAACGAAGCCATGAGACACGTTTGGATAGTTTTCTTCAGCGTTCTTACGTTTTCCCTGGTTTTCAGCAAGTAAGTTATATTGGATTTTTGACTGGTCAATACTCAAATTTTAGTGGAATGAGGATGGATAAAAGTCAAGAAAACCTATGGGTAACTCTTCTGTTTGCTTCCCTCCCGTGATTACTTCCAGGGAGATTTCGCCGGAGTTTTAGGACGTTTGGCAAGGCTGAGAGAGGCGCAGCGTCAAGAACAATACAACAATTTAATACAGAATTTGAATGAGGATGGCCTTGGAGAGAATGCCCTCAAACTAGCCACCATAGGTAGGTGCTACTTATGAGTTTTTAGTAGTTTATTTCAATGTAATTATCACAGTGCTTCTCCGGCTGAACGATCGTTTCGAACAGACGTTCGGGTAGTCTGACTGACCTGCAACCGTACTGGCAAGGTATGAAAATACATCATTTTTGCTTGCAATCCAAAGTGAAGCCTCTCTTTTTTTCTTGGCAATGGGTTACGGCTAGGGGAATTAAACTTCCGCCTGATGAGGAGGCCGGTCCTTATGCAAGTGAGAATCGAAATGCAATGGTTTGTTTCGTAAAAGCTCTTTGTAAGCAAACCATTTGAAGTTGAGTATGATTCAGGGACGACCACAGAAAGAAAGAAATCACACAGGTTTGTAACGCGGTTGGCAACCAAAAACCAGGCCTGAGAACATCACAAACGAGATTTTCAGCTGGCTGGCAGGTGAGTCTCTCGCAAAACCAAATTAGTTTGCAAATGAGTGTATATTCGCTTATTTCGTGCAATTCGGTTTCAAGTAGAACCTAATGTTGACGGAAACCCGTGGACTGCGCCTAGCTGATGAGCCCCAAAAAGGGCGAAACCGGTCGTGGGCTGTTGACGGATTTTCAGCAACCTTATAAGTAGTAAATTACAGGGCTAAAACAGTTTGTGCAATGGGATGGGTACGAATGGGACCCCTCGAAAGTCGTAAATTTCGCTCGTGTCTCCTGTGGTTGGGATTCGCAGTCCAAGATTCAACAGTCACAGTTTACACCAACAGCCATGTAGGAGACTAGCTTTGATTCATCGCGGGGTGCATACAAGAGGCCAGCTGACAGAAATCAGCTGTTAACGGTGACCTCCTCCTGTAAGTGCAGCTAACCTATGCTGAATAGCTGAGCAGCACTGTACGGCTGTTTCAAACTTAATGCAAATCGCCAGCAGTGCGCACCCGAGGAAATCCCCTTGGGTTTTAGACCCGCGACTTCTCGGCTATTCCTTTAGACATTTGACTCGTCGGCTTCAAGAGACCGTGACTCGCTCGCCCTTAGACAAGACATAATACCACCTAGCCTTAAATTAAGAGATCCACATCACGTGGCCAAAAAGCGCTTCACAACTTTTCGCGCGCAGGGCAAAATCCCCATTAAGACGCAGGTAATTTGAATCACATGTGTGGAGAGAAATCGACCATGCGAACTCGCCTGACAAAGCACTTTCCGGTGAGTCAGGAGTGCGTGGTTGCTGTCCCCTCCATAGAATGTCGCTTCAAATTTCCTGCACTTCTGGCCTCAGGAATTTCGGAACGCACAAGACAAATACCTGGTACTTCCATGTTTTCCAGCTCAGTTTGTTGTTGTTGTCTCAACAACTCAAATTCGAAAAAAAAATCTTCATTAATTAGAACGTTTACTGTTAGCATGTACGACTTTGGACGTTAAATGCAGTCTCTTCTGGACGATATTTGCGCGGTTCCATCCTAGACAGGAGGTTCAAATGCGGATCGGCCTTCAAGAACTCTTCTTTAAACAAGGGCACAAATGGTTTGGGGAAGGAATGTAAACCTGCACTCTTACATAAAGGTTACACAGCAAAACTGACGGTAGGAATTCGTAAGTGCCACTTTTCATAGTGTGTGTGTGTGTGGATGACTTCAAAATGATGGTCATTCGCAAGTCTCTTATTTCAGACAAAACACCTCAAGGAAAAAAGGAGCTTGTGTCTCACCAGACAGTGTTTTCCTCCAGGTTATGATGCTCAGTACGAACAGGAAGCAACAGACAGAACAAGCACCCGCATGTCTTATTTGTGCGAAGAAAACTGCGAAGTAACTCATACTAAACTGGGGCACTGAAAATGGACAAAAATTGGCCAGCTGACAAGCAATCACTGAATAGCGGAAGTAAGCCTAGTTGAATCAGATATTTAAAGAGGTGGGAGACAAACAACAGCGAGACAAGACGTGCTATCACCTGTGTTGGTGCGTCGCAACAAATCTAAGACATGTTTCAATCGTGTCATTTGCATATAAGCTTTTGATGCAGGCACAAATGCAAGATTTCAGGCGGAAGGCAATGAGATTGGTCAATATCACCAACCAATGAGATCTTTCGGCCAACTGGTGAGTCACTCATGGTTCGAGGCCAGATTGAGTTTGACCTAAAGGGGGCATGGCAAAGCGTGCGCAGTGTAAAAGTATCGGTAACTCGGGTCCGCTAATTGGTTTTTGATAGGGTAGTTTTACCTGTCCGCTCAGCCCGGTGATTGGCTTGCTGAAGTTTCGTCACAAGGTGAGGTTTGGTAAGGACGCACCCAACCGAGTTGTGACTATGTCTCCTCGACTGGTAACGAAACGTTTGCAAATCAGCATCAAAGGTCGATCACCTGAAGGTTGGGGGAACCCTCCCGGACTGTCCGCAACTTTTAGCTTTCCGTGGGCTTCTTGTATACAACCATGTAGCGTCCGGAAATCGGAGGGTGCCGTAAGGGTTTTGCCTTAAACGGTTCTCTTATAAATAACTGAAGCGTGTCAGAAATCCTGTTTTCGACTTTAACATTTGGAAAGAAGGTCTTGTGAATACCAAAACAAAAACAAACCAGTTAAAGTGTGCCCCGGTCGAAGGTACGGGCATTTGGAATGCTTTATCCCCTTTTCCGTCGTCCTAACTTTTGGTTTGTCTTCAGGTCGTGCCCCATTTCCCTCACGTACAGTCTGAATACGGGTAAGCGAAGAGGTCATATGACGCTAGCTGCAGTAAAACCAATCGATATCAGTGACGGCCAATCAGAGGCTTGCTAAGTAAAAGAAGCCTAACGGGAGGCCAATCGTGTGCGGCCACTGACACTGCAAAGTCCACCGTTCTGGAGTGGAAAGTTGTGCCCAGCCTTATATGTTCGATAATTTTCGCATTACTGTATGGCATCTCTTGATAGGGAAGTGCCAGAAACAGAAATTTATGACCTGTTGCTACATTCAGACAAAAGATTTCAACGACGAAAGAATAGCACCGTCATTCTTCTGGCTGTCTGGATTCCAGCCGTCATAACCGGATGTTTTCGGACAGCGCCGCTGCAATAAATCGAGCAAAGCCTTCCTTATCTGTTCGGAAGCAACTCGATGTGATCAATAAGCTGCCCTAAACCTAGTGGTACAACAAGACGTTCGTTTCTGGTCGGTGACCTATTCAGTAATCAAGCCTGCGATAAACCTTTTTTCGAAAGTTGCTATGGCACTTGTCCATTCCCAATACTGACCTTGATATTCACCAGACAGCATGGAATGCCTTCATTTATTTGTCTGCTGGTTCTCATTGCACCATTCGAGATTGTCACGGCCAACACTGGAACTCACAAACTATATAAGTAGGTGATGCAACACGAATGAACAGGGGTATGTGCACGGTGACAACGTTGTTCAAATACTTCGGCAAACCGGTACCAAGCAGGGCTCTCACCACACATCCTTTAGAGGCTCTAAGCTGAAACATCGGGATAAAATGTAGCTGTAATATGCTACTCATAAGATTGCTGAAAAATCTTCAAAAGCTGACGAACTGATTTCGCCATTTTGGGACTCATAAGCCAGGCGCACTCCCCGAGTTTCTCGCTATCTGAGGTTCTGCTCGAACCCGATTTGGACAGATTTCGAAAAATAGCCTCATTTGCAATGAATTTGGTGTTGACGGCAACGCAATCTCTCGTTTGTGAGCTGCGTCTATGCGAACAGCCCCAAGAAAGTCGGAACCGGTCGTTGACTGTGGAAAAACTTTCGGCAACCTTATGAGTAACGTGTTACGTTGAGACATATCCATGTATTAAGATACCTCGAATATCATACAAACCAAAATATGAGACGGTCTGCTGCGGACCATCATAAGGGTGGATTCAGTCGAGTCTCCTGTCAAAACCTAAAAATTCGAGTGCAAAATTAGAGTATTTGTATTAGCTGCTCAGCGACAGGCTGGATTTCGAATGAAGACGACCGACGTTTACTTCTGCAATTCTAGTTTCTAGCAAAACGATTGTCATCCGTCCCTTTGTCCAAAAGCGTGAATCTTGTCAAATCTCCCCCCACCCCACACACACACGCACATCCTACTCTACTAAGTTCTTGCTTCCACAAACCTTGTGAGCTCTGGAGAGTGGTCGACTTTTTTTCACTATTCGTTAACCTCTGTGGTTCACAAATCGATTTTATCGAACGGTAAACTCCATAGCTATAAGGTTCGGAAGACAAGACCAGATTATATCCTGTCCGAAAAACTTCCCTAATCGTGTCTCATGAGATTACCGATCTGTTTTTTTAATGATACCTAATCAGACGGCTTTAAAGAGTGATTTCTCGAGTTTGACAATTGTAGAACATTGAGCATAACTGTCGCCATCGAATATTTGTGGCTCGAACGCAAACATTCATGTGGTAGAGACATCCTGTAACATGAAAACCACCTCATTTGCATGGTACCCTGTCCGTCGGGAGAAAATCAAACGACGATGAATCACGTGTGGTTGCAGAGACTTCCGTAACTTGTCCGTGGAAGGGCTAAGGTTCAAACCCCGACACAGCCAACCATGTGCTCTGGTGATGAAATCTAATAAGAGTGAAATTCAAGCCCAGTGCTCGCCCTCCTTTAGTGTGCACTCATCAACACGATTGCGCCAGGACAGGAGGATTTTGCAGGCGAGAGTCACGTGAGTGTGCATTCTACAGTTTGATTGGACCAGGTTGGTGAGGTGACCTTGACGCCCTCAGCTTATTTACAAATGTCCGAAAATCGGGTCAGTCACCCATCAAGAGCCAGACACGTGCATCGGTGCGCACGAAGCCAGCTATCGGACAACCTTGCACGCGTTGCGCTTGAGACAAACCCTGGGGGCTAGTCACAAGTCAGCGTCGCTCGAGTCCAACCACTGGCGCTCCAAGCGATGGCTGACTCCCGTTTCTCTTGCGATAACTGTATGAGGCGTACACTGATGGAATAGCTAACGTGCACACTAATCGTAACTAATCGCGGTCAAAGGTCATCCTCGGCTACCAGCACGTATATCAACACACACGTAACACTAGTGAACGCACAACCACTAACCCACCGCTACGCACAACTACGCACTGATGATGTCACCTCGATTGGTGATGAAACGTTTGCAACCAAATTGCCCAGCTCAGCGAACAAGCCAACGACCATCTACGCCACCTGAGCTACCGACATTCTCCTCTATAGAAAACGTGCACAGTCATGCATTTACAGCGTGCTGTACGCCAATTGACCTTACACCTCCAAAATATTGGACTGAACTAAGAGACCAGCTGATGACGAGTGGCCTGACGTATGTGACCTTCCTTCACGCCACGCAGCTTTCTTTTGCAGCCAAGGCAACTAGCAAAAACTCGATTAGGTCATGATCGCCAAACAGATCCAGTGGAGTCTCCCGTGAAAACCCAGTTGATATGCAAATGAGTGCATTTGTGGAAAAGCAAAACTGACTATCGGAAGTGGCTTCTCTGAAACCATTCCTGCCGAAGTTGACAGCAAGATTTCGACCGGGCAGATTGTGTGACAACATCGCTTACGGTTTTGAAGAAAAGGTGGGCGCGAAGAATGACTCCCCCTCTGATTAGCCATTCTGTCAGTCGTTTCGTCCACAGTCAGTGAGGTAGCATTCAGCCTGTGTTTTTCTTTTATCAAATGGACCACCTTATATCTGAATAACTCTCAGTTTGTGGAATGATGGATCCTAGTTACCCATTGCTTCGGGAGACTTAGTCGCAAAAAAGTTCAAAGCTGGTCACGCGGTACGGTTGGCATGATAACTATGTCGGTGAGCCGTCCTTCGTTCGGGAGAATGCAGCTTGCGAGTCGCGTGAAATGATGTTGAACGAGGCCACGTGTCCTACCTTGATCGTGCGTGTACGTTCGAAATCAGACGGAAGTGATCCACGGCGAAACTAATCGTCTTTACTCTGTTCACCTTAGATTTGCCGACCATCAGTGACCGGGCGACGAAAAGTCGGCACATAAACTGCCTTAGCCTTGTGAATTTTTCAGATACCTGAACGTGTGACGTTGTTGGAAGTGACTTTAGGTAACCAAAAAAGACCAAACTTGTTTCTAACACTGAATTTGTTGCTATGCTAAGCCAGTGTTCGTCTATAGCACCCTTTTGTTACCTAGCTGTCATGTCATCCCAGGGAAGCACAAGGGCTGGTATACTGTCAGGTTGCCCAAGTCTAGATGGGAGGAGTTGAGAGGCAGAGGTCGGGTTCGAACCACTGACCTTCCAGTCGGTAAATTCGCGCTCTAACCACTTAGCCATCTCTCCCTCACGCTAATTCTACAACGACCCTAAAAATTATCAAGGACAGAGCATCATCTCAACACAATCTGTGTTCTGTCTGTCAGCAATTCAGGGCACCAAGCAATCCGAAACGGATAAAATCTTTTTCAACTGCTCGGCTGACTCCATTCTTACCTAGCTGGGCATTCCGGAATGGCACTATAGACGTCTCACTGGTACGCGACAAGAAAACTTACTTTAAGCAGATAAACATTGATTTTCCGATTAGGTGGAAGGTCACTTTAATCGCGGGTATTTAGGCCTAGCTGATAAGGCCAAGAAAAGTTAAACCGATAGCAGTCTGTCTAGAATTGCTCGCCAAACTTACCAACGTAACGTGTGTCCTTGAATGAGATTCCAAAGGAAAAGAATCCAGTTTCATATTAGTGTAAACGAACGGTTCGTCTGAGACTTGGTTGAGTCTTCATACGTCCATCGCAGTCCACTGATTGCACTGCCCAAAATCACACAGAAACTGCCTGTCATCGTGGCTTGGTCACTCCAATCATCCTGTTAGTTAACGCGTATTTCTATTTCTGTCTTTACATTTAGGAAACACCTTTATAGATAGCATCCAAGTTCAAATTATCCAGTTTATCGATTTTTCACCGTAAGGCAAAATTTGAAACGCCCTTTCCTTCACACAATATTGAATTCGCCGAAAACACTAGTTTACAAGGAAGTTGGATCACATAATCCTTGGATGTAGTGCAATGAGGAAGGTAGTTTATAACACGATGTTCAATAAACTCAACTGACACACTTTTCAGATTTAAATGACTTGAGCATACTCACGTGTGTAAGTGTACAAGCATCCCAAGTGGAACGACCTCAGTACACACGAATAAAAAAATCTATTAATGTCCAGAAAACATGTCATAATACACAGTTCATGGAAAGTTATGCTCGCTTCCTCCTGACGGAACAGTCCTAAACGCAAGCAACCATGAAACGAACAAAGTTTCTATTTCTGACTTTATTCGTGTCCTCTTTAGGGGAGGGTATTTGTGACAGAACCTCATTTACAAACAAATCTGATTCTGACCTCTGATTCAACTGAATCCAGTTGAATCTCTCGTTTGTATCGGTCACACTGGTGCGCTGCGCCTGTGTGATATGCCCCAAAAAGGAAGAAACTGGTCGTGCGGGGCCGAAGAGTTTTCAGCAACCTTATGAGTAGTGTATTTCGACTATACATGTATCGCGATGTCCCGAATATCGTGCCAACTGAAACGTGAGATGGCCTGGTGCAGCAAATTCGGTTGCTTAGAAACATCATAAAAAAGAGACTCAGCTAGGTTCCAGGTGAGTCTTCCGCAAAGCTAAGTTGGTTTTCAAATGAGTGTATTCCGCTAACTTCGTGCAATTTGGTTTCAAGTAGAACATTAGGTTGACGGAAACTCGGGGACTACGCCTACCTGATGAGCCCGAAGAAGGGCGAGACCGGTCGTGGGCAGTTGAAGAGTTTTCAGCAACCTTGTGAGTAGTTTCCTTTATGAAAATATACTGCGATATCTCCAATATCGTGCCAACTAAAACATGAGGCGGGCTGTGTGCAGCACATTCAGTTCTAGACCATCACTAGCGAGAGATTCAGTTGAGTCTCTCGTGAAAACCAAACTGATTTGCAAATAAGTTTTTTGTTTTTTTGGAAGCAGCCAGATTATTACGTTTTTTTAAGTCCACTCATCATCCTTAGTGTATCGCGAAGCTGTCTTCTATTTGGCCTAAATGAATAAAGGATAGTGGAATGGGCTCTGCGAGTCCTGAAAATATAGATTACGAGCAGAGCAAAGCACACAGTAATACAAGGATTGTGTGAGTGCCTATGCCGTCTCAGCTGTCGATAAGATAAAACATGATAATCAATTAGTTGTAACACCCTTTCGTCGCCTAGCTGCCATGCCACCTGGAGGAAACACAAAAGCTGGGATACCACCAAGTCGCGCTCTAAACACAGAGCCATCTCGCTCCAGTTGTCGGAAGGCATCCTGTCTCTTTTTGAGAATATAGTTATCGTCAGCATCAGAGACGTCCCGTGGTAACGCTGACTGGCAGTTCATGAGGGCCGTATATGAACTACAGTCCGTGTACGCCTGTCTGCGAACGGTCAGCGACGGTTCCACGTCTTCACACTGTAACTGCTTCAGATGTTTATCGATGGCGTACAGTTGATATATTCGTCACCATTCGAAATGACATCAACTTCGACTACTGAAGAAACATTCTCAAGCTAATAACCACGCTCGGAGAACAGATAAACGGCTACCTGACCGACCACTAATGAACACGCCCAAGTTTGCAACATTTTGGTAGAGTTCCAGGTGGGGGTATTAGATGCGGGTTGCACTCTTTTCAGGGCTGGTTGGCATTACGCACTCCTAGTCTTGCGGGAAATTATACTCCCGACACCTGACGTGCAACGTGAGCGTTTTACCAATACTTCCAATACTTCGTTGGTGAACGCTACCTTATCGTGTCTCAAGAGACCAGTGGGCTCAAATTCGGGGCACTACCGACAAACATATGCCTCTGTCTGTGATAAAAAATAGTTTCTACTTCTGTTTCACATGGTTTGTTTTGCCTAACGTCGAACGAAACGGGGGTTCCTTTGTTAGACATTGCATCAGTGTAGAGTTCCTTGGTGATTGCATATCGCCTGGTTTCTCTACTGATACCGTTTCATCCTGACTAGATCTAGCACACAATTATGGCAGACTTTATAAACGTTGCTGTTACTAATGGAGTAGCATACTCATTTTCTATGAACACTGTACTTGGGTTTCAAAGAGGTATCCAGTATACTTGTAACCGGCCCGTTACAACAAGTCGTTCAATTCTTGAAACCGGGTAGAAAATCACCATTGTTTGGCTATTTTATTGAAAATTAAGTTCAGTCTACTATCTACAAATTACTCTGTGGTTCTCAGTTTGAGTTTCGCTCATAAGAGGCTTCACAGAATGTGCATTTTGTCTGCACGTCGTTCCCGTCGTTTTTTCAGCAATCAGCTGACTGGTCAGCTGATCTGTAACCAATCATCTGATCGATTGATTAAGTCATAAGGTCTCGCCTTCTTTTTGGTAGGAAATATTTACTGCAATTCTCTTTGTGTCATAAACTTTAAAAAGGCGGTGGCCTGTTTGGGCTTTGGACAATCAGAGCCGATAACCTTCCAACCGATTGAATGTATGCTTTACCCATTTAACGCTTATTCTGAATTTTCGGAAGAATGTCCTTGAAATCGATCTCCGTTCTATGCAATATATCGTCCCCTCGAGTCACTTTTACAGCAATATGGACTAATTCACGCTCATGGTCCACATATTGGTCGGGTGATCGATTTCATCACTAACCTTGGTGCTCGAACAAACAAACGATTGCCTATTTTAGCAGTCCACTAGGATGCAGGCATCTGAAAAGACTGAACGTATGCTTGCGGGACCCTTCAAGTTCACGCGAAATATTTTTCAAACTTCCTGCCATCAGTTTAGTGTCGAACATGACTCACTGCCTTCGACAATGGCGAGGCAGACGGGACCAGTTAAATCGACCACGTGATCAACGTCACCATGAGATGACTCATTTCTGTCTG